AAATTAAAATTATTCAATGAAAGGTGCACAAACAGTCAACGTTAAACTATGTGCAAGCGACGTCTGTAACGGAAAGATTACAAAAAGTAGGTACTCTGTGACGAAAAGAGCCGTTCATGCATCAAGCATCAAGCCGCGTGAAATGACACCTCACTTAGGCGTTCACTGCTGGTTTCTCTCGGATCTCATCGGGCGGCTAGGGTTTATGCGGTCAATCGCGCTTAGAGCAGTGTTCATTATTTTAAAATTTTTCTTCATAAAATTGTCTTTATAATGAAGTAACTTACGTTCGTAAGCCGTAAGTAATATGCCATGCCTAATAATAATGCTTATAAATCACTTTTTAATTTTCTATAATTTTTTGTCGCAAAATACCTTATTGTGGCTTATATATAAGGAATAGGCATATGGTATCGCGGATTTTTTTTTACACCGAGTAAAGATCAATATATTTAGAACATTGTATTTATGAAATACTAAACGTTACGCCAGCGTACGCTGATAAGCGGCTGATAAATAGGTGGTATGGCTCTACCACGTATAAAAAATTGCCATGCTGCAGCTATATTAGTAGTATAGTTGTAGCACGAATGGGCCGGCTCGACCGGGGAAGGACCACGCTCACACAGAATACCAGAGTAAAATAGCAGCTCAACACTGCTGTGTTACATATGGTGAGTGTAGAGAACCGGAGACCCTTTTTACTGGAAAAGAGGCATACCATCTTAGTCCTCACGGGTAAGACAACGCATCTGCATTTTGAATCGCAAACGAGGATGGATGTAGATGTCTATGGGCCACAGCAACCACTTACCATCAGGTGGACTTTGTGCTCATTTGTCACCCTATACTATAAAACAAAAACGCTGATAAAGCAGTTAGGTAGCGCCTTTTCTTCCGACTTGCTTAACAAAAAACAATATTTAAGGCTAGCTGAGAGTTATAGGCTAGTGCTAGATAGTCTGTACTATTCCTCATGAATTTGACTATTATATACAAAAATAAATTTTCAAATCAGACTGTTAGTTACAGAGATTAGCGCGTTTAAAGAAAAAAAAAACTCATCCTATTTATTATATTAGTATAGATTAGGTATGAAGACAACAGAATAAGCAAGTCGTAAAATTCGTCTGTGTTAGAACATAACACCAACTAAATAAATAAAAGACATAATTTCTTTGGGTTAGCTAGCTGAGCCAGCGTCTCGTTTCACGGTACGTACAAGAATATAATGATTCCTTTGCCGTGCCGACTCTCGACTATGACATACATTGTTGTTTATCTGTTGAATACATTATTCAGCTTACCTATAAATTGTTTTGACTTTAATTATGATCGTCATTTCCTTTGAAATAGAATGCCAATATCTAAATTTAGCAATTTAGCTTCAAATAGTGATATATGATACTCGATACCGACGTTTTCGTCCCTAAAAAATAAAGAATTACTCATAGATTTTCACAATATGATATAAAGAAGAAGAAGTGCCTAATTCAATCTCTACATATTTAACACAGTGAGAATACTGTAGTACCTCCAATAAAAATCTTATAAAAATTAAACGCTGAATGTTTACATAATATGTAGAAGTCGATTTCAATGAAATCCGTTAAATATTATAAAATAGGAAGAATGAGAAAAATTTTCAAGTTTTGCATATTCGCTTTGCGCATTTCTATAAGATATCTACGTATCGTATACTGTAGATTACAAGAGAATGAAAAAGAAGAAAAGATCGGTTTATACATGCTTTTTTAATCTTATTCACACGTATTCTAGTTCCTTTTACACTTCTCTTATTATTTAATATAATATAATATGTAGGTACTCGAAATTGAACATATTAAAAAAGTACAAGTCTTTTTTTTAATTACTGTCAATAAATATAGTAGGTACCTACTTACTACGCGTTAGAGCAACGCTGCCCGATTAGGTACTAGCGTGAAATAGCAGTTATATTGCTGTGTATCCAAAGACGTATTAAAAAATAAAAACATCTTAGTGTGTATCGTTTCGTATGGTAAGTGACAAGAACAAGGAACCCCTTTACAAGTAATGAATTATAGAGGCATTTTATATCAGGACTAAAAGGTGACAACGCATCGGCTATTTGATCCTCCATTGAACATAGTTGTAGGTATCATCCACTTTTACATGGTAGAGCCTTCCTGCAGCTATATTATGGTTGTACGAATCGGTCGACTCGACCGGGGAAGGACCACGCCACGAATCAAGGATAAATGTAGATTTCTATGGTCCACAACATCCACCTATTCTAGGTCAACTGTGTGTGCTCGTTTGTCATCCTTATTCTATATAAAAAAAAAACCATCCGGTGAACAGCTGTTTGTTCGTTTGTGTTCTTAACAGTGCGTTATGCAACATCCGTAGAAAAAGCTAGTAACTACATGTACCTACCTACCTACGTTTAGTTATACTTAAACAGAATCTTTGAATTAGAGCTTAGTATACAAAATGAACAAAAAAATTGTAAGCATTAATATCTAGATAATGCACAAAAGGAAGACGAACTTTCATAATATTTACGATGAAAATACTACGGAGAAAATACATTTTGTCGAAAATCAATTTAAAAGACTGCATACCAAAAATTAGGCGAAACCGTAAAAACCTCAAAGATAACATCTCTGGATTGTAAACGGAGATGAATGAAGGGTTCAAGATCAAGAAACGTCCGGCGCCGGCACACGCGCGTTGATGTAGCGCGCCATCTTGTAGGCGGGGTCTAGCGCCCCGACGTAACGGATACAAGTTTCTTTCTCAATTCCGCAATGCCGAGGAATTGCGTGTTAGAAAGAGTAAAACAGATAGTGATTTCGTATCCTATGTAAAGTATCTTATTGAGTGTACGTTTTTTATTCTGTTTTCAACCAGCTGGTGAAGTATGACGAAAAAAGCATGCATTTGGTGTATGTACTTAGGTAGGATGTTCTAGGGAAAATTTATTAATTTTTAATAATATAAAGACAGTAACACATTAAAGTGGCAGATCAGTAGTGGTACTATTTATGTTTACTACGTGAAGCAATTGTTATTACATAGATCAGCAACCCTGCTCTCATCTCATCGCGGCCTGCTAATAAAGATTATTAAATTTATTACGACATACACACGAATTACACAGTTCGATGGTAACTAAAATTACGTCAAATGTAATCAATTAAAAATACAAATAACAGAACCAAGTTAGGTAGGTACCTATACTGAGTAAAGATTGTACTTGAAATGAATTTTTTACTCTTTGTTCTAGCTTATTAAACTGTATGGTGAAAGTGGTGAGTATGGCCAAATCTTTTGAGAAACGCTAGCCAGCTGTCAAATTTTTGAAAATGCGTATCTATGTCCAGAAGATGACAAAAACAGAGTGGGATGTGATTATATGAGATGCTAATCGTCAATAATGGCGGGTAATGAGATCTTATTAGCATTTGTTACAGTTTTATACGGCCTTGAGCTAATATTATCAACCATCCGTATCTCTCCATATTAAATTATTTGTAATTGGATACAGTTCTTATTTCATGAATTTTATTGAAGTACTTACCTCATGGATTAATAAGCTGAAGTGACAATGGACCGGCCATATAGCTCGAAGAACCGTCAACCGATGGGGAAGAAATGTTTGGAGTGGTAGCCTAGGCGAAGTCTAGGGCGGTCCCCCACTAGATGGAATGACGAGATCGTAAGATGTAAGACTGGTACCAGATGGTAAGACTTGCAGTAAGTCGATGGATGCAGGTGGCTCAGGACCGTGCTTTGTGGGATTTCTTGGGGGAGGCCTATGTTCAGCAGTGGACTTGTGAGGGGCTGTAATGATGATGATGATGAGGTACCAAATTCATAACACTATTAGGGATAACCATTTTGTTAGTTCACAAAATTTTCGTTCGCTGCGTCACTCAAAAAGGCAAGTTGTATTTTTAAAGCAATAAAATTTATTTCATGTTATTAGTAGGTAGATATTATTTTATGCAATTTAACTGTTATCACATCACTAAAATTTATTAAAATTAAGACACTTGTCAACTGAATCTACAGCTTTCTACGTCATTATAAAACATGCATTTGAAAATTTACGTTATCTACAATGACTTCCCTGATGAGCTTGCTACAGTGGTATGAGTCACTACTTACAGCTTTAAAGACACTACAAAAGAAACCTTATTTGAAGGCAATAAGGAAAGATTTTATATTAAAACGGTCGCTTACACGAGCTCGAGTAAATAAATCCGGCAAGCTTAATGCAAAACTTTTGGTTTACGCTTTATGGTAAATATTTGGTATACGTCGTATAACTGTTTTATAGATCTAGTAAAATGTTTGCTTTAATTGTGCTAGGTCAAGAGCGTTCGTTCGACAGGCGTCCTTGCGACGGATAAATATTATTGTCTAAGCGGGTTTTCCACTCTTTAGTGTTTGTACGAGATTGTGGATGATACAGGCTGGGAGTATGAGTGCAACGACCGGTGCCGATGGTATGCTCCGATGATACTCCTCCAACTGGTACTGGTACTGGCACTGGTGAATATTGTCATTTCAGAACGCAATTGCGAACACGGTGTATGCACAGTTATCAATGAGCACTAGAGTGACATGAAAACAATAATTGTTTTTTTTAATTTCTTTAGATATTTAAAAAAGTCCAGTGTGAAGGAACATATTAATATACGAAAATTTATTTTACTTTATTATTAAACCGTATAAATCATTTTGATTTAATAGAAAGCGTTTTTATACACTTTAGAAATGGTGATTTGTAAAGTTGCTATCATCAGTCTGTATCAGAAGGTACATCGAGTGTCGGCTTGCCAATGAGCAAGTGTGCTGAAAGCGTGGGTGTGCCAGGGCGGCGGGGCGGCGGGGCGTCGGGGCATCGCGGGGCGCGGCCTGGGCGGCGGCGCGAGGCGCACGCATTGGGCGGCCGGCGGGCGCGCATTGTTGCTCGACTCGCGCCCCGACGCGCACGCGCACGCGCACGCATGAAGACCGAAGACCAGACCACGGAGGAGGCGGCGCGCCGCGCGTCTGCTACTCGCCGTCAGGAAAAACCACCCTTCTCGTACATTGCGCTCATCGTCATGGCCATCCGACACTCGCCCAACAAGCGACTCACACTTAGCGAAATCTATGCGTTCCTACAGCAACAGTTTCCGTTTTTCCGCAGCTCCTACCAGGGCTGGAAGAATTCCGTGCGCCACAATCTAAGTTTGAATGAATGCTTTGTGAAATTACCTAAGGGTTTAGGAAGACCCGGGAAGGGGCATTACTGGACGATTGACCCATCGTCTGAATTCATGTTTGAGGAAGGGTCGTTCAGACGGCGTCCACGTGGGTTTCGTCGCAAGTGCCAGGCGCTGAAGCCACAGTTCGGGAACGGGACCTATTTGTGCGGAGGTGGAATGGCCGCGTTACCGCCGTCTCAACCAACGGGATATGAACTGGCGGGTGGTAGCGGCACAAGCGCCAGCGGCTCGACGGCCATGGACTATGGAGCATGCGCGTACTCACACTCAGGTTCTGGCGGTCAGCAGTTGGCTTATGGAGGCGAGTACTGCTCATATGGTGGAATGAGCGAGCGTGAATGGCCTCTTGCATACAGCACTGTAGAGCCAGCTTATCGGCCTCCGCCTTCTTCGCCACCCTCACGCCATGACCTGCCCGACCTCATTCCCAACTACCAATATGCCGTCGCCAATGATCACGGTAAGTCTTTGATTGTAATAGTTATCATTATATTATCTATAGATATAACTGTCGGAAGTGATAGCTTATAATTAGAGTAAGATTTAAGCTAGAGTACCTTCTGATTCTGCTACCTACCATTGAAGAAATCCTGCGGGAAATATGCAAACTAAAATGTAAAACAGCGAATTCCATATTCGACAGAAAAAGTCGAATTTCGCGAAGACTGTGGCGCGCGCCTATTAGACTTCTTTCATGAAAAAGACCTCTAAAACCATCGTTCAAATCCGAGACTATCATTAACCACATTTTACAATAATTCTGAAATATAATGTTACGCTTAAATGTTAAACAAAAAAAATTTAGTAACTAATATTTTTATCAAACACCGAGTTCGGTGGTTCTATATTCGCCGCGTATTTTTGTTTAAATTTATTTCATCGATTTTTCTGAAACGGCTCAATTTAAATTAGGTATCTACTTCTTTAGACTACATATAGAGGGCGGTCCCTTTAAAATCTCGAAACGAAATTCTAGTTGTTACCTTGAGCTTGAGAGTGAAAAATTAAGTTTTTAAGAAAAATTGTAAAATCGACTTTAAATACCAAAAAGATTAAAATAATTTCTACATACCTAATAGCTTCTGACTTCCTTTGGGTTTACTCGTACGCTTTATTCCTTGATACACTGCCTAAGTAAATAATTCACAAGCTATTATGTGGATATTACTTTATTCTTTTTAGTAATCGAAGTTGCTTTTTACTTTTTATTGAAAGTAAATCTTTTCAGTAGGTATGTGTAGTTATTTCATATCATTATGTATATTATCGTTTTAAAAATCAATTGCTGTCCGTAGTCTTGCATAAACTCGAAAATGACCGAACCGATTTTGATGAAATTTTCGCATGATATAAACGATTCACAATTGGACCCGGTAGGTGGCGCTGTTGTCGAGATCCAGAAATCACCCGTGCGAAACCGGGGCGGATCGCTAGTTTGTTATAAAAAATAATGTTTGTCATAAGTATATAGACTTTTTATGATATTGTTTTTAAAACGGGTTTTTAATAGTGAATATTATAATTAATTTATATAGTTAGTTTAGGTTTTTCTGTTATTACCCTTTTTGGAATTTGTTTGCGTAATGCAGGATTACGAAGTAAGTAAGTATAAGTGTAGGGCGGCCCCACACTATATGCAGAAACGACCTGGTAAGACATGCAGAAAGTCGATGGATGCAGGTGATTCATGACCGTGCTTTGTGGCATTCCTTGGGGTAGATCTATGTTCAGCAGTGGACTTGTGAAGGGCTGTAATGATTATGATAATGCAGGAATAAAACTAACGATTACGTTTCTTGATTATTTTAAAAGGAATATTTTGATTTTGATTAACAATCTTAATCACAGAATAAATAGGCTTCATTTTACTACCTATTCAAAAGAAAATAAGTCAGTACAGTGCGTAAAGACATTTCAGTATGACTTTACGAAGTGTATATTTTATATTAGTAAGCATATACTTTGTATATTGCCTTGATATAGATATTTACACATGTTTAGTGCGCCATTTTATAAACCATCACGTATAATTAACCTCTAAACGCGGTATGCCAATTGCCATGCTGCAGCTATATTAATTGTATATTTGTAGTACGAATAGGTCGGCTCGACCGGGGAAGGACCACGCTCTCACAGAATACCAGCGTAAAATAGTAGCTCAATGCTGCTGTGTTTCGTATGGTGAATGTAGAGAACCGGAGACCCTTTTTCCTTCCTTTTTTACTGGAAAAGAGACATTCCACCTCAGTCCTCCTTAGGCTGACAACGCATCTGCATTTTGATTCGCAAACGGGGATAGATGTGGAGGTATCATAAAAGTATGAAAATTTAAATTCCGCATAGGTTTTTTTCAAACCTTTCAAAATGAAAACATAACGTAAAACCCTCTAAAATACTGCTACTGTAAAATCATTTCAATGATATATTGTGATATATAAATTAAATAACTAAATCTACCCCGAATTAAGTGATACATTTTTATATACTCGTAGTATAACCGTACTGCAGTTGACAAAGTTGTAACACGAATGGATCGACTCGACCGGGGAAGGACAACACTCCCACAGAATAGTAATATAATAAAATGGAAGGGAGGCATTCCATCTTAGTCATCGGGGATGACAATTCATCTGCATTTTGATTCTTAATCGAGGATAGACGTAGATGTCTATGGGCCACAGCATATACTTAGATATCATTAGGTGGATTGTGCGTTTATTTGTCACCCTTATTATATAAAAAAATGTAAAGTATGGAATTTGACAGCAAATTTCAAAATTTGTGAAGACTGGCTTCGTGGCTATGGAATTTCTTTCGTAAGAAAGACTATCAACTTGGGACCATAGACACCTCCGAACCGCCGGTGGAATGTGTTGCTTTATGCTTGTGACTATTAATACTTCACGTTTTATAATAAGACGGATAGCGTTTTAACTTTTGTTATAAGTATAGAATCCTAGTATATTAGTGTTTTATTTATAAAGGACCCAAAAAGTTACAATGTAATGGATGCCAAAATACATCTCAGTGTCGCTTATACGTGTGTGAACTGTAAAGTACTGTAACATAAACTCTACATTTTTAAAAATGGAACAAATATCACGTGTGGTATAGAGCTGTACAGTGCACATTTTTATAATATTTTTTTCAAATTCTAAACACTACATCGTTAATTAAAATTTCAACATAATCATGATGTGATTTTATAGAAAAAATGACTGAATTTTCCGTTGAAATTCTGAGAGTCATGTTGTTGAAGTCCATATATCATTCTTACTGTTAGAAACATTGTAACGGCGAAGCATTCTGGATAGGGGTGCGTGTCTTAGCAAGGTTAGTCTGCACTCTACATGTGAAGAGCAATCCCTACGTTGCGCTGTTCGTTTGTTTTCTGCGAGAGATTGGCCTAACCGTTACAGATACAGATAACGGTTTAGGTAATTTATACAAAAGAAAAACAAATCAAGGATCTCATATCGATCTTACGAGATTTAAGTCCAAATTTCGATCATTATACTCGATTTTATTACTAAAATTTGGGGTTTAAATAGCTAAATGCTGCGTAAAAGCTTTTGTGAAAGCTTATAATGATAAACGCATGCCAAAAAATAATAGTAATGTTTACCATAGAAGTAGGAATTACAAGTACCTGCTATAGAAGAAATAGCATACATATCATCTAAGAATTTGTGAGAAAACCGTGTAAGATAAGCATATTTATACGTGGTAGAGCCATGATGCAGCTATATTAATAGTATAGTTGTAGCACGAATGGTTCGGCTCGACCGGGGAAGGACCACGCTCTCACATGATACCAACGTAAAATAGCAGCTTAATGCTGCTGTGTTTCTTATGGTGAGTGTAGAGAACCGGAGACCCTTTTTACTGGAAAAAAGGTATTCATTCTATCTTAGTCCTCACGGGTGACAACGCATCTGCATTTTATTTCGCGAACGAAGATAGATGTCTAAGGGCCACAGTAACCACTTACTATCAGGTGGACTGTGTGCTCGTTTGTCAGCCTTATTCTATAAAAAAAGCTTTTGCACATATTGGACTTATTATATTGGAATAGTGGAGAAAAGAATAAATGTCGCTAGTTTATCATCAATATAGGTATTGTTAGTTTTTAAATAAAGGTAAAGTTAACACACCAGCACGCTTCCACCTGATGGTAGGTGAATATTGTAAGCCATAGATAATATACTCGTTATCTAAAAGCAGAATGCGGTGTCATCTAAGAGGACTCGATGTCACAATGGAATGTCTGATGCGGTAAAATATTCGACTATTGTTTCTTTTTTAGTGTTTAACTTTTAAAAATAACTACATTATAAAAAATCAGTCGTTTCGGGTATAAAATAATAAACATCTATCTACATAATAATCTAAATATTGCAATAAAAAACGTCTATTGGTATAATGTTACGTTGTTACAGCTAAAAGCCAAGATGCAAATCCCCGTTGCAATCTGCAATCGGCTGTACCTACTTGTAGCTAGGGGTGGGCGCTGCGACGACGAAACGTTTACAAATACCGTTTTGTGTTCTGCGACGATGAAACCGTTTTACGTCCTGGGCTCAAACAGTCTTTATTGCACAAACCACTCTTCAAATTACTTTGTGCGATTATTTATTTTCATCATCATCATCATAATTACGGCCCATCGCTAACATAGGCGTCCCCCAAGGAATGCTACAAAGCACGGTCATGAGCCACCTGCATCCATTGACTTTCTGCATGTTTTGCCAGGTCATCACTCCATCTAGTGGAGGGGGGGGATGGGGGTTTGCCCTGCACTTCGCCTACCCATACGATTTTTCCCCATCGGTTGTCGGTTCTTTGAGCTATATGGCCGGCCCATTGCCACTTCAGATTACTAATCCGTTGGGCTATGTCGGTTACAATGGTCCTACTGCGGAGTAGTCCCATGGAGGACGGAATTAAAGAGCTTCTGAAGGACTTCAAGTACCGGTTTTCCACCCGATTTCAGAAGCTCCGCTGTAATTTCATTCTCGCTTGAGACCTTGTCGTTTTTAAGGTGCTGGAGAGCCATTCTAATCTCGCTCAGACTGACGTCCGGAACATCATCCGAATAAGGCTTGCTCTTGGATTGTTACTCACACTTGCGTGTGGCTCCAACGCTCCAACGATGATGTGTACAGCTACCCATAGAACCTCCCAATCTCACTCAAAATCTCTGGTGTCCCGGAATCGATGCTGCCACACTCGGTCCTCAACTTTGTCAGTTGGTTCTTTCTGGCAGACAGATCTCGGGCAAAGACTTTGGAGCCCTGATTCCGCTCGATCGCTTCTTCAATTAAATGCAAGCTATTTTTTTGGAGAGCACTTTCACCTTGCATCTGTTCTTGTTCATTTTTATTAATCTGAATAAAAACATTTCAATAATATACATTATATTGTTATAGTTACTTATAGCTTTCTAAGCAGTGGTTCCAA